TTACACGGAAACTCTTACTTCCAGGCCTGCTTCTGGGGAGTCTAGACTCAGTCAGGGACTGCTCATAAGCCAGAGGTTAGGGTTGCGTTTGGACTCACTAGATGAGGTGTGCATAACGTATGCTTTGTAAAACTGTGCCCCAATCTATGTGAATGTATCAAGTGAGAAGGAGGAACAAGTACAACTACTTTTTGACAGATATTTTATCCAGGCTACATTTTTCCCACAAAAGTAACAATTTGAAAATATTTTCCAGAAAAACTATTTTTGAACTAAACCTACATAGTTTCCAAAAGTAGTGGTTCTTTCCAACAAAAACAAATAATAGGAGACAAAAGTTTTATTGGGCTAATGTCTCCCAGTAAAGAAAAGTAATATGCTTAGGATCAAGCAGAAAAGTTCATTATAAATGCAAATAAGTACTTTGAGATATTTTAAGGAGATAATGACCGACTATAACTATCATCATTGGCCATGTTCAATAATTCCAAAATCCTCACGATTTTATCATTGTGCTCTCATTTACTCCAATCCATTGTCTCCTCCTGCAAAAACAGTCCAGGAAATAAAACAACAGCAAAAACAACCTGAATGGGTGTGTTAATCTAGATATTCTGTTTATTTTCTACTTCATCGCTTCAGAGATTCCAACATTAGTATAGTTTCTTTTAAGGTACTCCTACCTGGTGTGTGTTTGGTAGTGCTGGGGATTTAATTGAAGAATCCAGGGTTTCACACTGAGCTACATCCCTAGCCCTTTTCATTTTTTTTATTTTGACACAGGTTTCACTAAGTTGCTAAGTTGCCCAGGCTGGACTTGAACTTACTATCCTCCTGCCCCAGCCTCTCAGAGTGCTGGAATTATAGGCTTCCACCACCCTGCCCCGCTCTCTGCCTGCTTATTTGACATTCAGACTTAGTTTTCAGAAGTTAGTAGACTGCTTACTGATGTGATATATTGGTTGCCATAGAAATCTAATTGTTCAGCTTTCTAGGTGCTATAAATATAGCAGTGAGCAAAAAAGACCAGGACCTTACCTTCATGGAGCTTATAAACTACTAAGAAGTTTAAGCCACAAAAAGACAAATAATTATAAAATACATATGCTATGATAGAAGAGGACATGTTTGGAGAGAGAAAGGAAGAAAGTACTTATTTGGGTGGGAATTACCAAGTGGAGATTGTGTTCAGCTGGGAGTACCAGAAACCTGATGAACCGTAGCCTAAATAACTTAGAGTCTCTTTCCTTTCCTCGGGATTTGAGAAGACTAGATGTTAGCAGAGCAGAGTTATTATGGAGGCTCTTCAATGCCATCCGAGCTCCATGTCCTTCTAACTTTCTAACCTTCTGTCGTCAGAATATGACCCTTTACCTCGTACCTAGAGCTCCATTCATCTTGTCAGAGGCAATGCAGAAAGACTAAATGCCAATAACTGGTTTTGCTGTTAAATTGATCTCCACCTTAGGGAAATTTTCCAGAAGTGCAACCTTAACAACTTGTCTTCACTCTTTGAAGTTTTGTTGTTTGTTTGGTAGTGAGGATTGAACCTGGGGCTTGTGCATGCGCAAGTAACACTCTGCACTGAGCTGCCCCTCCAGCACTGCCTCCTATCAGTTCTGATACAGATCTCACTAAATTTCCCAGGCTGGCCTCAGACTTGTGATCCCCCTGCCTCAGCCTCCCCAGCAGTTGGGATGACAGCTGAGCACCACTTCATCCAGCCTGGGCCGTGTTACGTGGCTATCTCCCGTTCCAAGAGAGGCTAGGAAGTATAATATTTTCTAGGAACGTCTCCTCTGCCAACGTGATCAAAACAATATTAGCAAAAAAGAGTTGAAAACAAACCCAGGGTAGGCAACTCTGTTGTAAAGGAAAGCACCTCTGAGGAAGTGACGTCGAAACTAAGACCCCAAAACAAAGAATGATTCACACGAAGAGCAATGGGCAAAGCACTGGAGCAGCAGGATATGGAGAGGAAAGGAGAGGAGGGTGTGTGTAGCTTCGCAGTGCTGTCTTCCCACACGAAGCAACCCAGGACTAATCTAGCCCCTGCCGGCTTTTCATCGGCTGGTACAAGGACTGTGGTCAAATACCGAAAGAATGCCGAGTAAGGGTATTAAGTGACTGTTCTCAGCAAGAGAACATTAAATATCAGCCCTCTTCCGTGCGTCACCCCTTCCCACATCTCTTCAGTTTTGAGCTCTTAGTACTTTTTCCACTGGACGTATGAAATGGTGGTCTTTCTTCCTGCCAAACTTCTTGTCAGCTTTGTTCTGGACACTGGAAAGAAGAAATCCTGTTTCCTGTCCTTTGTTTCCTGCTGGTAGGCTCTGATTCCATGCCTTCCTTGGTCTCAAAGTGTCTATTTCCACCACAGGCTCCAGGGTCTGTAACAAGCTCCTGATTGCTTTTCTCTTCCATAGTTACTAGTCAGTCTCATTCAATTATCAGAGAGGGGAATGATTTCTCTCTGTCCTGTGGGATTTTTTCCTCCTTCCATCACTTTCTTTCAATTGTCTTCCCTGTGTTCATTTCCCAGGCTCTTCTGTGCAAAGACAGGAAGAAATGAGCAGGTGTTGGGGCCCTGGCTCTCCTGGGACACATAGTAGAGCAGCATTGGTATTGGACCAGGAATGATGTCATAAAATCACTGGCAACAAATCCAACACAAGGAGAACTCCAGGGTTTATATCCTGAGTGTGAGGACAGATCTGTTGCTATGGCCAGGACGAGGAGTAAAGTGTGCTCCTTTAAGAGAACATATTCTGAGATCACATAATTTCTCCTGCTTCTGGGCTGGCAGATTTTATGCAGTTCATGTGATCACATTAAGCTTTTGGAATTTTATCTTAAAAAGAAGATAACAGATCCTATCTATACAGGTTAATTTTATGTGTCAACTTGCTTGGGCTAAGGAATTGCCCAGTTAGTTGGTAAAATGCTATTTGTGGGTGTCTCTATGAAAATATTTCCAGAAGAGACTGGCATTGAAATCAGTAGACTGAGTAAAGAAGATTTGCTTCTGCCATTGTGAGGAGCCATCTTCTAATCCACTGAAGGTCTGTAAAGAACAAAAAGGTGCAGGAAGGGCATTTGCTATTTGCTGCAGCTAGGACCTCCAGCTCCTTCTGCCAGGACTTTGGCCCTCCTGGCTCCCAGGCCCTTGACCGCAGACTCGGCGTTACATCATCTCCCCTGCTCCTCAGACTTTTCAGACTCAGACTGAATTACACTGCTGGCTTTCCTGGTTCTGCCACATGTAGACTTCCTATCATGGGACGTCTCATCTTCCATAATCACATACGTTGTTTTCTAATAATTCCCTCTTAAGTATCGCTATTCTATTGGTTCTCTTTCTCAGGAGGATCCTAACTTATACATTACCTCATCAAGATGTTGTGAGGATTCAATAAAGTGTGTGCATGAAGTGCTGGTTATAGTGCCAAATAGTAAACTCTCAACAAATGATCATTAGTACTCTACACAACAGGATTTAGAGCATATGTTCGTTATTAAAGTATTTTATAATTAGCCCAGAATGATGGTGCATGCCTGTCATCCCAGGACTTTGGGGAACTGAGGTAGGTAGGAGGATTGCGAATTTGAAATCTGAGCAACTTGGTTATTTAGCTAGACACTGTCCCACAGTGAAAAATAAAAATAGGTGGGGATGTGGTTCGATGCAAAGGCTCTGGTTTCATTCTCCAATACTGAAAAAAAAAACCCAAAAAACCAAAAAAATATATAGTTAATTATAATTAATTTTAAGTTAATTTTATAGTCATTCTGATTAGATGTATATTTATATAATTTATGTAATTTTTTTTTTTTTTTTGTACCGGGGATTGAACTCGGGTCCTTTCGAGGCAGGCCACCGAACCGCTGTATAGCTATATAAATTATATAATTTTCATATACTATACTCACTTATAATTAGTTGTAATTATATCTTCTACCAGCTCTAAGAAGAGAGTTTCTGGAATACCACTGTTCCTTCATAGGGAGCTGGCTTGGGACTGGCTGAGTGTAGAAGATTGGCATTAAATTGAGCACTTCTTTAATAAAGACTTGAAGTACTGATAAACAAAACTCCCAGAGGGAGGCCTCCTTGGAATGGATGATATTTCCCGAAGTGTTCTCTGTGCAGGTCAGTCCTAACTCTCCAGCCCTGCTGGAAAGTGCCTGAGGATGGAAGGAGGCTGCCCGCTCTGGATCCCTTCTAGGATGCCGACTGACAGATGACAGTTCCAGCTGGGAATACAGATTTAGGAGCTGTGTTTCTTGCTCCTGTGATGGCAGAGAGGAGATATGCCAGATGCTCGTCTGTTAGTGTTCGATACTGACTGTAATTTCAGAGCTTTCTTTCCCTATCCCACTAAATCATTAGCTTCTGAAACTTAACTGTAGAAGAAGAGGGGATTTGGGTGTGGCATTGTGTGTGCCCGTTACACATGCAGACTACATCTATATCTTTGCTGTATTGGTCAGGAGGGGACACGCTATGTTGAAGAACCAATAGCCATAAAATGTCAGTGGCTTAAAACAACAAAAGTTACTTTGCCCCTACTGCATGCTCCATGTCAGCTGTCACTGATAGGGAAAAGCGGGGACAGAGAACATGGCATTTCAGTTCCTGTAGTCAACTGTCCACATTCCAATAGCTCAAGAAGGCCTTGTAGCCCAATGACTTTAGGAAAGGTTTTCTTACCATTGCTATAGGTTGGAGGCTGACTGTCACCAGAGGCCCATTTGTTAAAAGGTTTAGAAATAGAGTTATCTAGGTAGTTGAAGGATGACTTCAGTTAATACCTGCTAGTTAAAACATCAGGGGCACACAAGACTTTTCAGCTGTTTTGAATGAAATGTGTAAGTGAAGCCTGCGGACATATCTTTATAACTAAGCAATTTTTTTTTTTTTTTGCCTGCCTACCACATACCTGGCACTGTACTAAGCACAGTTTACACATTGTCACATTTTACCACTCTCTTGAAAACAGGCAAGACCAGGAAGGCTCTGAGAGCTACAGTATTCTATCCAAGGTCACACATCCGGACCATCGCACTGCCAAAGCCTGATCTCAAGTTCACTTGAACCCAGAGGCCAAACTTGGAAGCAGAGAGGTGTGAATGAATGAGACGGACTCCGTGAAGAGAACACCGTAGCTCTGGTGGGAAATTCCAACTGGTTATATATATGCTGATTTGACTATGTGTGTTTGAGGAATAGGCACAATAATTCACCCAAAGAGGTGCAGAGGGTCTTATACCAACCAAATAGTTGTTTTAGTTCTGAAAATGATAAAACAACACGATGCTCCCAGTCCTCCATCGAAAGCATGCTGTCTGGATTGAGCTCTCCAAAGCTAACGCGCCATAGGAGAGCTATAGCTGGTACTTCAGTTGTTAGCCTAGGCTTCCCCTATCAAGTTTCTGGAAATTTCTCATAAACTCAAACCAGAGCACGACTGCCTAGAAGATGCAACACTTCTTTAGGAAGGGAAATAGTTATCCAGCATCCCGAGTTTGAGATCATCCCAAAGGTGTGTCAGGGTGTCTCTGTCTCTCTGTCTGTCTTTTTCCTATTTCTCCTTTTTTCTTTCTATTGTTCATCCCTTTTCTCCTCTTCCTCCTATGCCTTTCTTTTTCCTTCCTTTCTTCTTTCCTCTCCTCTTCTTCCTCTTTCTTTTCTCTTCTTTATTCCTTCCTCTCTCTCTGCTTTTTCTTCTTCCACCTCCTCCCCCTTCCCTCTTTCCCTTTGTCTCCCTCCTTCCCCTCCCCCTCAACCCTGGCTTCACACATGCTAGGCACATACTTTACCCCTGAGCTATAGCCCCAGGAAGGGGTTTCCTTTTTCTTTCTTCTTTTTTGGTTTAGGGTTTTTTTTGTCCCAGAGATTGAACTCAGGACCTTTTGCTTATGAGGCAGGTGGCAGAACCACTGAGCTAAATCCCGGCCCTTTTTCTGGTACCTGGGATTGAACTCAGGACCTTGTGCTTGAGAGGCAGACTGCAGCCCCACATGATCATCCCTCGGTCCAAGGCCCCTACATGATGTTGATTGATTCTACACTCATTTTTAAATACCTCCTCTGCTAGGCATGTGCTATATGGCAATCCCATAGTACACAAGACCTATGTCCTTCCCTCAAGGATCTTATAGTCTAGTCAGGGTTACAGGGCATGATATGGGCAGTGAGTTCATTTGCCATTTCATTTGGGGTGAAATCATATTCAATACATTTTTCAGTATGCCTTAGACTAAGCAAGCACTTCTAATTCAAGGCAATGGGGCACTGTGTAAGGAAGACTGTAGAACAGATACGGACACATAGATAATGAGTGATTAAATGATCCCATAACTCATTACCCCTAATATTTAACCTCACTGAGCGTCAATTCTCCCCTCTGTAAAATGGGGATAAGACTGGCACAGAAGAATTGTAAAGATTAAATGAGGAAATGCATTTAAAATATCCAGCATTATGCCCGGTTCACAGGAAGTGACTCAATGACTACTCGCTAGAATCATAATAAGGATGCCAGTTATGACAATAAAGAAGAATAATTGTCACAACAAACGGGGAAAGTAGAAAATAAAGGCTGGTGAGAGCAAAGAGTTCCACCAGAAAATCCATTTCCTCTGCAACAAGTCACTCTTCAAAATGCATATTTGAATGCACTTTCCAGCCCCATGAAAAAGAATTAGTCTTGAACTCTTCTTAAGTGTGTGCGTAAAGGGTGGAGCTGGCCAAAGGGAGGGTGGTTTAAGCTGAGCCCAAACTCTTTTCCTTTTTTTCTTGTCCTTCCCTTCCCTGACTTCTAGAACAATAAACATTGTTTAGAGAAAGAGTATTTACCCAAGGCCTGTTTCCATTTAAGATATTTCAGCAGGACAGTGAATAACCTTTTATCCTAATGAAGATTTTTCACTTTCTAGAACAAAGACGTCATTATTAAAATAAGTTCTTGAACCCCCGTAGAATGGTCACTACAGTTAACAAAAGGATCATTTACAATGACTCCGCAAGACTGGAAGCCATTATTAGATAGAACACTCTAACAGAAATCTTTTTTTAAAATCCAGTGCTGGAGATCCAACCCAGGGCTTCCTGCACACTGGGCAGCCGGTCTATCACTAAACTATATCCATAGCCCTTTTTATTTAGATATTATTTTGTCTTTTCTTTTGAGATACGATCTTGTTAAGTTTTCCACTTCTCCCCAACTGCCTTAGCTTCCTAAGCAGCTGGGATTATAAGTGTGCTCCAGTGTGCGTAGGCTATACCAGAGATCTTGATTCTGAGACTCAGGGCTCTCTGGTGGCAAGCAGTGAGAGGGACCCTGGTTCCCTTAAGCAGAGGAAGGAGTCCATTAGAAGACTATATGGTGCTGCTTACAGATCCTCAGGAAAAGCTGAAAAAAAAAAAGCCATAAAAGGGGGGAAAAAAACCAAACAGGTTTTGGAAAACACTGGAAGCAGCAAGCAGAAACTAATAGACTTTTGGAGTCACCCAAATATGACAGATCAGCTTCCTTTAATTTTACCTTCTGCCTCACTTTTCTCAAATTTAACTTCCTGGGAGAATCTGGTTGATCCTAAATGAAATCCGATGAGATGTGACTGGAATTGCAGTCAGCTAGAGGGTAACACAGCACCTTGACCTCCAGTCCTATGGGCCTTATCATGAGAGAGGGACAGCTTACTCAGGAGACCTAAGGGCGGCCACCAGAGAGGGACTGGACGCTGGGGAAGGTTCCAAGAGCCTACACTACATACGGCTTCTGGGGCAGAGGCGTAATAAAGGAATCCCTGAGGAAATGAATGAAGCACTTTGCTCCTGGAGCCGCAGTTAGTAGCAGAAGTAAAAGTTTGTTGTTGTTGTTTCTTTCTCCTTTTAACACTTATTGGGCTCAAACCTAGGGTCTTATGCATGCTAGGCAAGTGCTGTGTCCCTCAGCGAAAATCCAGGCCAGAAGCAAATATTTCTGACTCCTACCAGTCAAATGGGAATTTTTTCCTTCTTCTTTCTGGCTTGCTGAGAGCAATGGTTCAGAAACCTGGCAGTACACCAGAATTACCTGTGGAGCTTGTTAAAAATAGAAGACCTGGGTTTGGCATGGGGTTGGGGCATTTGTATTTTTAATGTACTTCTCATCTGTTTATAAGAACTTGGAAGCCCACTACACCAAAATTCCATACTGTCTGACATAAAGAAAAATATAGTGCACTTAAAAAGGGAATAAGGTACTTTTAGGAAAATGATTTGGGTTTGAAGATAAAATGTTTTGAGGTCCAATGTGTTAGTGTCTTCATGGCTTTGGGATTTAGAAAATACAGGACAGGGAGAGCTCTCGTCCTATTTATGGCAGATCAGGGAGGTTAGACTGTTATACTAGGATGCATCTTCCCTTCAGCCCTGCAAGGAGCTCAGCTGGGGCCTCCCTGGGGCAGTCCTTGCCATCTACAGTGCTGAAAGGCAAGGATCAGTTTCTACCAGCAGTTTACCCAAGTGTTAAGATCTGGAACACAAAAAAGGGTTGGGAAATAGGCCTGAGCTGGCACAGGTGGGACAGGGATCTGTTACTTTTTTCTTTTTGTCTCATCACGATGGATAAGACAGGCTAATAGATGTCTCTTAACCAACTTGGAAGATGAAAGAGGAGAATGATATTTCTCTTCCGGGAGCTGAAAGTCTCTGCTCTTTACCTGGCTACTTCTATCCATACTTAGGCCCTTGACTGAATTTCTCCTCAGAAAAGCCTGCCTGATGACCCAGTCTAAAGTAGGGTCCCACTGTTCTCCCTTGTGGTCACAGTTCCTTCCCATGGCCAGCTTCATGAGTGTGCAACTCATGTGATATTGCCATTACACAGGGCACACAGGAGGATTTCATGCTTGATTTAGTGCTCTGCTCTCATCGTCTTGAAAACGTTAAATTTTTGAACCAGAGTCCCTCCATTTCATTTTGCACTGGATCTTGGAGGTTAATACGACTTGTCCCATTTCCCTTCCTTGAACTTAGCACCATTTATTTGCCGTGATCCTAACATCTAGCCCCATGGCTGCCAGTGTCGCAAAGGCTTGATAAATATTGTCTGATCATTTGAAATTAAGGTTATTTGGCTATTTTGACTTATAGGAAACAAATTCATATAATTCAACATGAAATTCTGGATATTAACAGAATAACAGGAAGAAGGAAGATACTTCAGAAACGGCGAGTTGTTGCTCACTATCTACAGACCTACTTCTTCTCTAATAAAATCCTAATTATGACCAAGTTTCTGTGCCTTCCTCAGGGACTCAAGGGAGGTGGTCCCATTTCCAATTTCAGGGTCGATCATGTGCAGCCTACATTTTCTCTTTTGTAAGAATATTCTTTCTTTTTCTTGACATTGTCAGGTTTGAATGGAGCTACTACAATCATCTCTATATCATCCTGACAGTTCAACCAACAGAAAATAGAGTAGATCCAAGAAAATTGCAGGAAAGCAATATCTGGATCTATTGTGGACAGACCTGCTCTACCACTGAGATTTCTATTATATGAGATAATAAAGTTTCTGTGTTATTTGTTCTGGTTTTATATTGGTGTGAGGCAGTTACCCTGAAGTGAAGTAGCTTAAAATAGCAACTATTGTATTATATTTCACAATTCTGTAAGTCACGAAACTAAGCAGAGCTATGCTAGCTGATTCTGTGTAGCACCGACTGGGATCATTTTCTGATATTTAGGTGGCCAATGGACTGTTCTTTCAAGTCCAAGATGGGCGCCTCTACCCATTTGGCACCTTGGCGATGATGGCAGGAAGTGAAGGGTTAGGAGAGGACGCACACAGTCTCTTCACCATGACCATTTTCTCTTGTTACACGGGGTGCAAGGTTACCAGAGAGAATGTTTCAAGAGGCAAGATGTAGAAGCTATCAGACTCTTATCTTTTGGGTCAAAGCAATTATAAAACCCACTCGGCTTCAGGAGGAGAAGACGTAGAATCTTACCTTGATGAGAAAAGTTTAAAAGAGTCCATGGCTATCTTCAGTCCCCCTATTACATAGGTCAGTTGAACACAGGTTTTCTGTTATTTACAGGGATAAAGACCCAAATTAATTAAAATAAATTGAATGTTCTCCCAAGCCTGGAAAGGTGTTGCTTCCTATTCCTTTAACACAAAGGTCTGTAAACTCTCTCTGCAAAGGCCCAGAGAGTAAATATTTTAGGCCTAATAGACTACCAAGTCTCTGTTGCAAGTGCTCAACTCTGCCGATGTGACATATAATCAGCCATGGAAAATATATAAATGAATAGACATAGCTATATTCCCATAAAGTTTTTATTTATCATCACTAAACTTTGAACTTCACATAATTACCCTGTGTCACAAAATATCATTATTGTTTGATTTTGTTTTTCAGCCATTTAAAAATATAAAAGCTATTCTCAGCTTGTGGGCTGTCCAAGAAGAGAATCCAGCCTGGATTAGGTCCCCAGGCTGTATTTTACTAACTTCTCCTGTGGCATAACATTCTTGTTCTAGGCTCAGGGCATTTGCACATGTTGGCTTTCTGCACTTCTCTCTTTGGTCCTCACCGCACTTTTTACCTTCTCCCGCTTGGGTTTTAGATCAAGTATTATCTCAGAGCAGCTTTCTTTGATAACTCCATTTAAATACTGTACCTCTGAAGTATATTACCTCCTTATATTTTCTTGATGGCACTAATCACCGTCCAATTGTTTTATGTTTACAGTACTGGGGATTGCACTGAAGGCTTCTGCATTAAGCAACATCCCAAGCCCTTTTTTATTTTTATTTTGAGACGGACTCTTTTTTTTTTTTTTTTCTGGTACCAGGGATCAAACTCAGGACCTTGCATTTGCCAGGCAGGTGCCGGTACCACTGAGGTAAATCCCCAGCCCTTTGAGACAGAATCTTGCTAAGTCATTGAGAATGACCTCAAACTTGTGATCCTCTTGCCTCAGCTACCCAGAGTACTGGGATTACAGACATGTGTCATCATGCCTATCTCACTATATGAACATTTTATTGTTTATTTGTTCACATATTTGTCACTGCCTCGTCTCTACCTTCCCTAGAGTCTCATCTGAATGAAAAGGGGATTTTGCCCCTTTTATTCACCTCTGTAAATCCTTTAGCTAGCACAGTGACTGGAATGTAATACACAACTAAACAATTGTTGAATCTATAATGGTTACAACTCCGTTCTCCGAGGCTTGACAAGAACATAAAAGGCTAGTCAGTTTATACTTACTAGACAAGAGAGAGAGAATAAGAGCAGAAGACGTAGATGGAGCCATTCCCTATACTCAGAGAAGCTTTGGTCCCTTTGTTATTTTCCCAGGTTTTGGGAGAAACCAGAGGAAAACTTTTCTACTTACATAATTCTGAAGATGACTCTTTTCCTCTCTTGGCAGCTATGAATGGATTTCCTTGCCTGTCTGGAAGCAGGAGAAGTTGGAACCAGCCGTATCTGAGGAGGGAGTATGTCACTGTGGGTTTGTGAAATGTTGGGAATCTGGAAGCTGGCTTAGACCTCTAAGTTATGTTTTAACAGGAACTTCCAGGATCCCTGCAGGGAAAAGCAAAGGTCCTGGGTGACACAGCAACAATAGAACAAAATTGAAGAAAAAAACAAAACCCAAAACAAAAAAACAAACATCAGGCTAAACCTGTCATCAAAGGGAGGGAGGAAAAAGCAGCAGTAAGTTCAGGACCAGAAGGCTCAAGCTTGAACAGAGTATACCTACTGGTGGTGTTGGGTGGGGGCCAGCGCCCAAGAATATGGTATCATGCTTTCCAAGCCCAGGGACAGAAGTGGCTTCCATCCAGTCCTGCCTGTATTTATTCCAACAAACAAATTGGCAGGATAGAAAGAACCCCTGTAGGGGATAAGGATAAACAGGGAATGTCTACGGGAAGCAAAAAGATGCTCTGCATAGGTTCAGTTGAGCAAGTCAGGCTAGGAACTGAGCCCTGGCAGAGAGAGAGCACAAAATAGAAACAGAGAATGCAACTGACTTGAAAATGCTGAGCGTAGTGTGGAATGCACAGTAGGAGAACTGAGCATAACTGTGGCCTTAGACAGTTGATTACCTGTTGATGGATGAGCCAGAAAGAGTAGAGATGAAATTACGCTTCTCATCCGGACTTTTTGATTAGAAGTGGTAAGAAAGGTAATACAACCTTACCAAAGTTTAAAAAGAGAATTTTAGTTTAAAAAGGATGACAGAAGAGACCAAAATGGTGAGGTAGAGATCAATGCAAAACACAGCCTCTCCAGGACCTGGAATTGAGACACCTGGAAAATAACAACTTGGTAAAGCGGAAAAAAAAAAGTAGAACTCTGGGAATTGGGAAGGAGCTGATAGGAAAACCAGAAAATACATAGAAGATGGAAAACAGAGGAAGGAATGAAGCAGTCTGGAAATCTCACCCTGCCTCCTGGGAAGGAGGACCTGTCCCCTCTGACACAAGATAATCCTAGAGAAGGTCCGCAGCTCCAAGGAGAAACAATAAACCGGGCCAGCAGCACTAATCCCATGGTAAGCCTACGGCTGTTACAACAGTGCAAAAACAGTGTTGTGTGTTACTCTGAAAGTGACACCTTCTTCTAGGCAGGCTAGAGGTGGAGGAGAAGTTCAGTGCAGCATCCACCATATTTGAGAGAGTTGACTCAGGAGCCATTTTGGGAGAGGCTTAGCTGTTTAAGACTGAACCAGTGAACAATTACAGAACACTACTCCACAGTTTTGGTGGCTCCCTACCACAGGACCGAGTGGGAAGCAGCCACAACAGGCAGCTGCAGAAAGGAGGTGCGATTCCCTGAGAAGTGTAAGCTCAGGCTAGGAAGGAGAGGGCCCCAACCTCTGGGGTAAGAAACAAGGCACGTCACGTGTGACTTTAAGAGGGAGCTGGGTCTGGAAGAGCTGACATGAAATCCAGCAAGCTGCTTGACAGCTCCCACCCGACCTCACTGCCTATGTCAGCACAGAATTCAGGGGCCGATTTGCTTTCCTCACCTGTCAGCATGAGCAAGGCTGTGGCTCACTCGGACAGTTGCCACACCCTGGGGTATACGGACAGAGGGCCCACTGGGATGGGGGCCACCTCACAAACGCATAGGCCATAAAGCTAAGAAGAGAAAACCATGACTACAGGTGCACTGAGGGACACAGAAAGTGGGAGTTAGCAGAGTGACAATAGCCATAGGGAGGACAGAATTAATTGAACATGACCAGTGGGAAAGGTAACAGAATTCTGCATTCACACACAAAAACGTGGATGTGGGAACAAAATGGGCTTTACTTACTATCCCTCCCACATATTGCTGGATCCTTATTTCAAAATCAGATAAGGACCCAATTAAAAAAGAACTATAAGCCAATCTCTTTAATGAACATAAAAATCCTCAGTAAGATACTGGCAAACAATGCAACAAATCATCATAAAAAAAAATAAATAAATAAATTGTACATCACTGCCAAGTAGGCTTCATCCTAGGGATGCAAGGATGGTTCAACATCCTTGCAAATCAATAAAGTAATACATCATATAAACAGAAGGAAGGACAAATATCACGTCACTTCAATAGACACAGAAAATGCCTCTGACAAAATCCAACATCCATCCATGATTAAAAAAACAAAAGGGCTGGGGATTTAGCTGAGTGGTTCTGCGCCTGCTTTGCAAGCTCAGGGACTTGAGTTTGATACCCAGTACCAAACAAACAAACAAACTTAAAATAGGTGTAAAAGGACCTTATCTCAATCTGATAAAAACTATGGCAAGCCTATCACCATATCTATCAATTGGGAGAAAGCTTTTCCTCTAAAATTAAGATGACAAGGATGTCCACTATCAGCGCTCCTGTTCAATATAGTACTCAAAATATTATCAAGCAAGAGAAGGAAGTAAAAGGAACATATATAAGAAAGGAACAAGTCAAATATGATTATTTGCTGATCATATGATCCTCTACATAGAAGACCAAAAAAATTCCACCTAAAACTCCTACAATTAATAACCAAATTCAGTAATGTAGCAGGATGAAATCAATACACAAAAATCAATAGTGTTCTTGTACACCAGTAACGAACTTACCAAGAAAAATTAGGAAAAAAAATATCATTCACAGTGGCATCAAGAAAAACTAAATGCTTAGGAATTAACCTAACGAAGGAAGTGAAAAACATCTGTAAGAAAAACAACAGTAGTCTGAAAAAGTAGCTTGAAGAGGTCATTAGAAAATATATATCCCCTCTGCCTGGATAGGTAGAACCAATATTGTCAAAATGGCCATATTTTCAAAACTGACATAGATTTAATGCAACCCCAATCAAAATGCTAACAGCACTCCTCACTGAACTAGAGAAAACAATCCTAAAATTCATATGGAACCAGAAGAGACCCCGAATAGCAAAAGCAATCCTAGACAAAGCAGGAGGCATTATAATCTGAGACTTCAAGTTATATTACAAAGCTGCAATGATAAAAACAGCATGATACCGGCACAAAAACAGATGTGCAGGGCAATGGAACATAATAAAGGATACAGAAACAGCTCCAGGTATTCCTTTTATAGGCATCTTCTCAAAAGAGTTAGAGAAAACCAGGTGTGGTGGCACACGCCTGTAATCCCAGCACTTGGGAGGCTGAGGCAGGAGGATCGCTGTGAGTTCAAGACCAGCCTAGGCCACATAGTGAGTTCCAGGTCAGTCTCAACTACATAGTGAGACCCTGTCAAACAAACAAACAAACAAACAAACAAACAAACAAACAAGAGAGACATCATATTACAGTGACAAATGCATACCCATGTCTATAGCAGTATAACTCATAATAGCTACATCTTGTAAGCAGCCTGAATGCCCATCAGCAGATGAATGAATCAAGAAAATGCGGCATTTATACACAGTGGAATACTACTCTGCCATAAAGAAAGATAAACTTGAGTCATTTGTAGGAAAATGGATATATCTTAAGACCATAATGTTAAGTGAAATAAATCTGACTCACAAGCTTAAATATCTCATGGTTTCTTTTTTTAAAGATACTCAACACATAAATAAAGAGCAGAATTAAAGACAGATATTAGGAAATAGGAGGATAAATGTTTTGTAAACGAGAAGGTGACAAAAAGATGGAGGGAGGAGGGTAGGGCAGGATAGGGGATGAGAGAATTACAATGTGTCCGGTACACAGTGAACGTAAGCATTGTGTACTGCAAACACGTAGTAATAAAAATAAACATTAAAAATATAAAGGCTCATAGAATTGAAAATTATAGCAGTATGCTAGCTTCAGAAATGACCGGATGCAAGTTCTCAAACAACCCCTTCAGTGCTTCTCAGACAGGCTCTCACCACAGTGTAGTTAGTAGACCATGTCCGCTGGAGATTCACATCCACTCAGCTTCCCGTTAAATAGGAGTGCTTTTCTGGCTTGGTTACTCCGACAAGTCCAATGACTCTGTCTCAATGTCTCTGGTTGACTAATATTCTCATTTCTGAACCAACCTCTGGGCCCGGGATGTTGCAATGTTTTATTGGTCAACAGGTCAACAGGACTGCATGTTCTTTTGAAACCCAGTGGCACCAGCTCTTTCCTGGATCAGGAACAAGAAAACCTCAGAGATTGCTGCCATAAGAAAGGGATATGGATGCTGGGTTGGCAAGAAACAAAACAAATGCAAAACAGGTGTTTACAACTAATAATCATCAAACGCACATAGAAATGTCCAGAAGCCACAATCTTTCCCACCAATACATGAACATGTAATACTAATTAAATGTTACAACCAGGTCTTGGATTTTCAGTTGTTTTTATACTGACAAAGTTGCATACAATAGCATAAATCTGGTAACCATAAATGCAGCTATGGGATAAATAACTCTTGGATTGTGAGGTAACAAAGCTCTAGAAAAAGGAAATGCTGTGCATGTGTGTGTGTGTGTGTGTGTGTGTGTGTGTGTGTCTGTCTGTCTGTCTGTCTAGAGGTCTACTTAATTTCACCTTAGGAGTGATTCATGAAGAAATCTTAACATAGGGGCCTGAATTTCAAAAGACCTTAGAGTCCCTGATTATTTCCATGACTGCCAGCCTGCTCCATTCTGCCCCTCACCCAGTCATGAAGCATTTGCGTTTTCCAGAGCTCCGTCTTTGAGTCCCTACTCTTTTCTCTTTTTATATACTTTTTTCAGCAACTTTGTTTCTTTTCTACAGGTACCCCCAAGAGCCTCCTTCACGTCAGGTACTGTGCAAAACATTTTGTGTGGACTCACAGCTTCTGATTATCCATTGCTAATGACTCGTCGCAAGAGTTCAGTAAATATCAGTTGAGTGAATGAGCGGTTAAAATTGTAGGTTTATGTTTTCTCTTAAGTGTTTATACTTCTTCGTATAATTGTAGGTCTCTGTTTCCCCCTGCCCTCAATAGCTTCCACACTATGAAAAAGGCTCCCCTAAAATACTAAGAGCAAAAGGGAATCGTTGCCCAAGATTGAGACAGAGGGTTGCCAGTAGAAAAAGATAAACTAATTTGTATTTTCTGCAAAGGACGAACTCTAGAGACCAAAGGCAAATGTTACAGACATTAAAATACATACTGATCTGATAACAGAGATCAGAAAAATGACTAATAAAAAAGCAAGGTGGTTTGGCATGGTGTACACGCCTGTAATCCCAGCACTTAGGAGGCTGAGGCAGGAGGATCACTGGGAGTTTGAGGCCAGCCTGAACTGTGTAGTGAAACTGTCTCAAAAAAAAAGAAAAAAAGATATTATTTCCTCTAGCTTAAACCATTTATTTAATTATAGTCAGTTCCTAAGTCTTATTGAGAATTTTCCGACTAATATTTTCTAAATTAATTTTAATCCATACAGAATATCTACTTATCTTTGTATTGGATTCTGAGTGTGATATTGATGACCATAGAATTGGCCTGTACAAAGTATGTAACAAATGATGATTCACTTAATATCTTCATATTGAAATATGCAGAAGATTTCACCAAAAGAATGCTATTAATTCATTCAACCAGTTTACTTAAGTACTTGTTACACGCTAAGCGTTATTCTAGGCCCCAAGGATGTAACAATAGACAAAATAGATTTCCCTGGCTAAAAGAGCACACAGGTGCCTCCACCCTGCACCCAAAAGAAGAGTAATTTTGCCTCCTTTAAAGAATACCAAAAATGCCAGGAGGTCAGAGCAGTATGTGTAAGGAAAATTGGGCAGGAAGTGAGGTGAGAAGTATCTGTGGGTCAGATCGTGATTTTGTTTTTATTCAATAAGTTGTTGGAGGGTTGTGATCAGAGGACTGACGATATGTCTTTTATGTCCTAAAGGGCCACTCAGTCCTGGGCCTCAGACAGCAGGGATGA